AACTCTGTTTTCACAATCTGACTTTAAAGCACATTTTATGAGCAAGTTCTGCAAGGTTACATTTCCCACCTTCTTCCCAAATGGTATCACGTATGCCCAGTAATCAAAACTCTATGGACTCTCCTGCTTGCATTTGCTCCCTACCAGACTGCCTTTGTACTTCACAGGAATTTGCTTGTGGTTTCCTTCCTCTCTTGATTTTTATTCTAGTTTTTTCCCTGTGTATTTTTCCCACAGAGTTCCCTGTTTCATCTCATTCTGCATGTGAATAACTTTCACCTGATTTCTGGATTTAACCTTTTGCCTGCTCTTCGCTCGGATTCCTTGCTATGCTAGCTGTCAACCTGTGTATGCCTTCAGCCTGTTGATTAAGCATTTGAGTTCTGAACAAGCACACACTTGCCTCTGACGTCCTGCTTTAAGGCGCTCGCCTCTTCTTCCAACCAATTCAGGAATAACGTTGGTAACAAATTTCCAACCGAACACTTTAAATCAACACTAACCTTTTTAATATAATCATAAATAAAGTAAATGAAACAAAGTGCGGTGAAACGAAAGCGCTGCAAATTAATCAGTTTGTGCTAATCTGAACCGATATGTTGCTCTGCAACTTTCAATGCAGGTGCAGCGGCTGTAAAGTCGATTTAACAAAGCACTGAACCACGGAGGGCCGCTGACCTGTATGGCTGCGGATGTGGACCCTTAGCGTGCCGTTGCTGGCGAACTTTTGCCCGCAGTATGGGCAAATCTTCTCCTTCTCCCCCGTGTGTGTCTGGCAGAGAAATGATAAAAGAGACATATGGTGGATGTTAAGGAAAAAAATTTGAAAATTCCCATTTTAACATCTTTGCTACATTACAAAGTAAAATGTGATCAATGGCAATAACTGGATTTCAAAGTCAGAACATGTGTCCATAACCAAGTTATCAAAAAAGATAATTAAAGGGCTTTTTTTCATACTCGGGTCTTAGAATACATCTGTTCACCCAAACATTATCAGATTTTAGTGCTTTTTTCATTTTGTAAAAGCAACTCCAGAACTATGTGACTGTGTCCAGAATAAACAAGTTCTCATAATGCAAGTAAATGGAGATGCACATGTTCACATGACAGTTGATTCTGCAAGCTTGCTGGATCAAAGAATTCAGACGATACACATTTGCCAGGGTCCAAAACCCAAGAGACCTTTTCTTCTCCCTCTTCTTCCTCTCCCTTCACCTCCCAGCTGTCCACCGTGGTGAGTTCCATGGACCCATAAGGGCCGCACATGCAAACAGAGAGGAAGAACATGTGGCAAGAGTGCACTAGCTCCTCTACCTTTCCCCACCCTACCCCCCTCACGCCGCTCCTTGCTGAAAAGTACACTCTAAATTCTTCCTGCTGGCCTGTTGTAAATTCCCGAGAATAATCGTGAGTATGAAAGGCTCAAACTCAGAGCGACAGTTTCAACAGCAGTACAACAATGCAGGAACACCTCCTCTCTGGCCCCCATCCTTTCCTCCGTCACCCCACTGTGTCCCTCTGACACCTCTGGTGTTTCGTTACAAAGGCTCCATCCACACTCAACACACACACACACACACACTCAGTCTCGCACAAACACGCACAAACAAATCCATTTATATGAACACGTGCATCCCAGATGGAGCAATGTTGCATTATTTAATACAAACAGAGAAAATCCAATTCATATTCTACCTTTATAAACAGACAGCCAGCAGTGACGTCTGCGAATTCACATGGGAACATCACGTCTCAAATCACAAACGTGCAAATTGGCTGGGGATTTCTTTTATGACAATGATTTTTATGTCTGTATCTATTCAGAGTAACCCGGCAATTTTCATTCATCTGTACATTCCTCCAGCATGCCACTAAAAGAGATAAGACTTGCACAACGAGCAAAACACACATTGCGTGCACATACATGCTTTCACACACACACACACACCCACAAGCGCACACACCCCCTATGTAGAACCTAAATTCAGGCTCACTGAGGATAAAGTATTTACTGTAATACAAGAGAGCTCAGTGAATCCGCTGTCTTGTCCTGCCAGATATGTACATTACTGTTCATTTACATAAGCTACCATTACACACACACACACACAGTAGTGCTCGAGTCACCCTTCATTTCTTTATATTCTGCTTCAGAAAATGGGAAATTGGGGCAGCAATGTGTTGAAACATATAAAAACATCAAAGGAAATAAGGCAAAAATTCTAATGAGCTTCAAAGTCAATCTTTCTATGACCACTTTCATTCTTTAACGCAGCTCAAACTCTCTTAGGCAAGCCTTTAAGTAGTCTTCAGGAATAGTTTTCCAGGTTTCCCAGAGGACATTCAAAGCTTTTCTTTAGATTTTGGGTGGTTGTTATTCCATTTTCTGTCACTGCTTCACTAATGGGGAGGCCAGTCCATGACTTATAACGTTCCATTGTGTGTTCCAAGGTATGTTTTTACTGCACTGGCACTTTGTTTGGGATCGTTGTCATACTGATAAATGAAGCTGTTGCCAAACAGATGCTTTCCTCATGGATAAAAAAATCTGATTTTGGCAAGATTCCCAAACCACTGGCTTAAAAGCAGCCCCAAAAC